CACCCTTAATGGTACTGGTCTCGTTTGGTTTGTGGAATTTGATCGAATTTGGAGGATTTGAAATAGAATTTCATACCAATCTCACATTTGGTGTCAAGTATTTCATGGATTTGAATGAAATCCCTCAAAACACAAGAATTTGAAATCTCATAATGGTTGTTGGTATTTCATCAGATTTCGAATGATTTGTATGTAACAATGTTTTAAAATATGTTAAAAATAGTTGTTTTGCAATAATCAATTAATAAAATGGCAATTTAATTATTTTATAAGTATTTTAAAAATATTATAAATTATTTATGAATAATGGGGTTTAATTCTATTCCAAATCTTGTACACTGACATTGCAAATCCCTTAAAGCCATTTTATCAAACAAACGCCCCTTGAAATATTTGAATTGATAACCTCTTGAAAATAAATTCAAAATCTTGTCGATTTGGCTACCTTTAAAATTAACAAAACAAAATCAATTTAATATAATGCAATGATCAGTAAACATCAATTATATTTTATAGTAATTGATATAACTACTGACCTAATAATTAAATAAAACTTTTAATTTGTAATTGATGGTTAGATACAAAGATTTTTTTTAGTAGTAAAACAAAAAAATATAGTAATTAAGATTAAAATATCAAGAATATCTTATTGTGATCACGTTACGTAGCTTTAGGTCATGAATTCAGGTATGTCTAGAAATATCATTAAAATTCCAAAATTAATATACTTATAAATACGACTGTTTGTCAATAAGGGTCCATGTATCACCGACCGCTCCCACTGAGGATCGCAGTCCTAGGATTCTAACCTGTTGAGGAGAGAAAACAAGCAACAACCCTTCAATGAAGAAACAAACGATGACACCAGCCGCAAACGCCCGAGGAGGGACAAAAGGAGGCAACGGTCACAGGCGGCCGGCGACGAGAAACAAAAAATGGCGGCATAAAAGTTGCCGCTCAACCAGATCCATGGCAGTGATCGATACTAACATCGACTGAGGAGACACAGAGGGCAGCAACCTTGCTAGAAAAACAATCGGCCAGCGATAGCAGTCATGAATCGATGATGGAGGTGAAGGAGAGGTGGAAGACGATGCCATTTGTCAAGGGTTGTTGGATTGGAAGAACATATGTATGAATTAACGAAAATTTTGGGTTTGAAATTCAAAATAAAAGATAATCATGGCATGTGAGTTAAATTTGGGAAAATGAAAAAAAAAACAACGTGATTAATTAACGAATAATTTTATTACTATTTTACCCTTCGATTATTAATTTGGTCATAAATTTAATCATTGTTGGATTAAGTTAATTTGTGGCTAATATTGGTTATCTCATATCTTACAAAATTTGGAGTTATCAAATGATAAAGCCCCGAGGGGCATTATTAAATGAGAACCTTAAATATTTTGGTAATTGTGAGAACTTGTATTTTAAGATACTATTTCATATGTTTTTTCAATCTAATATTGGAACTTAAGGTATTGATTAACATATATTTGTTTCATAACTTGTTTGTTTTACATGCATTTGTTTTACAATATGAGACTTTTTATATCGTGAAAGAAACACATTGTAAAACATATTTCGTTAATACTTCAAATCTTAGATTTAGATGAAAAAAAAAATGGAGCATCTTCAACAGTCATGCTAATATTTTTGCTTTAATAGTTACACCATACCGTATGCTAGAATAAATAAAATAAAAGAGAGATGATAAAAACATACAAATTTGGTGAAATTTCAAAACTCCATATTTAAGATAGAGAAATAATAGTTATTTATCTACCACCGACATGAGAGATTGAAATAAAGTGTTTAGGAGATGACAATAATATTTTATTAAATGTACTGAATATTTTAATAACATATTTAATGGTGTAATTGCTAAAATAATGTTGTTTATCTGTCTTTGACCCACAATTTTGTTGACCGAGATTTTGTTATGGTAAGGATTGAGAATCATGCTTATTCGATCATCGCTTACTCCGTTAGCGCTCGTTCGATTAATGCTTAATTGTAAACAACCCTTTGTAAATTTCATAAAACATCTTGTAACAATGCAATTTTGATTTTCCGTTAATATTAAGTTACTCCAATGTGTACGTTTTTTATGCCATTATATTTCATGTAAATAGACTATTATACCCTCATGTTCATAAAAACATGTTTTTAAGGGCCAATGGTCCTAAAGTAGATTTACCTTGGTTGGTAGGGGACCGATAAAAGTATTATGTATCAGTTTAGCCCATCAAATAAAAGGTACATATAAATTACGGTCATTGTAGATTTACAACTATCATCCATACACAACAAAGAAACTCAAAAGGACGTAGTTTGTCATTGCTACTTTATGCCCGACATAAATAAGGTCATCATCGTGGGTCCTAGAAACTCATATGTATCCCCTTAGTAACATATGTAAAGTGCATTTAACGATATGCAATCATCCATCCGAACAAAATCATTCATCAAGATCTCATTGCATGTGTTCAAGCTACACCCAGCTTTGGACTTTTATCCATATGAAAGAACATCAGCAACTTGCAATTTCAATGAAAACATGATGAGTGTCCTGTGTCATAATATTGGAAAAAAAAAACATATAGTATGCAATTGATATAGTAACAATTCAAGCTATCTAGTTTCCCCCCTTTTTGTAAGCCAGTATTTTCTCATAAACATCATTCATGTATTGTGTAACAAAAGTAAGGTATGCATCCATCATACCTTACATTCATGTGAGATATATTGAGTTTGTTGAATTCAATTTATGGTGATAATATGTAACCATTTATATATTAAACAAAATTGTTGAGTTTTACAAGGTTGATAATCACATTTAAATAGCCTTACATGGTTCTTTCAGTTGTCTTCCCATCGGATTTTGGATTTATTTAGTAGTTGTTTGAGGTTGTAACGAGCGTTTCATTGTACAACACAATGGCTACATTGATAGTCAAACATATAAAAACCTTAATGGACCAACGAAATTTAGAAATAACACCTTCCATCCAAGGTGTACTYTTTCGTCCCCAGGTAAAATACCAAGGCACTATACCTGTGAAGGAAGTAGCGTGTCATAAGAACATGCTTACCAAGATTGGCACCACATGTTCTTGCTGTGATGCAAAGAACACAACAACRTATCGTTTACTATTGTGATTTGGACTAACGTCGTATGCAATGACTTATTCCATTTTGTGGGATATGCAATGAACGATGACATGAAATGTAAATCAATTATTTCAAGATTGAAGAATTGGGTATGGGGAAGACGTTTGTAAAACTTGAAGGTTGAACAACCATTGCAGGTTTATGGATGATACACAATTATCCAACGTTTAACAACAAACCACATGCTAGTTGAAAAATGCGTCCAAAATTAAGCTTGAGTTGTTCAGTAGGAGACTAGACCTACAAATATGCTATATGTTACACTTCCATTAATGAACCAATGTCCCATAATCGGATTCCTCTTCTCAAAAATCGTATTTTTTTTATCGAGATGATGTGTTGTGTCAATTATAGTCTATATACCAYTTGGGATCCATTGTTAAAATTCAGACAAGTCAATCGTTTGACTCATTGTTACGATTAGAGAGGAAAATTTATCAAGCAATAAATTTATCTTTTCTTTGTATAATGTTTAGTAATCATAAAAATTCCATTAAAAAAAATGCTTTTGCACATAAAAGACCTTGCTAAGTAAATAAAGTGTAAAACCAACTAAAAAAACTAAAATAATTTCATAAATTAAAGTGAGTGTACAATTTATTATAGGGGTGTGTAAAACCCGAATGCTTCAAAACCCAAACCCGAATTCGAACCGAAAACAAAGTGTTTATGCAAAACCCGAATGCCTTGAAATCTGAAGACCTGAAAACCGACTTTTGAAGGAAAAGTTGGGTTTGGGTTGGATTTGATTTCTGGTCATCCTATCCATCTGAAAACCCGTAATATATACTTAAATACTATATGAATATATTTATTTATTTGATTATCTTCGAAAATTCTAAAAAATTTAGTCGATCGTACCCTTTCTAATTTCTAAGCATATCATGGATTAAGGGTGTTCGTTGTGTTGTTTGGGGACAGATTGCAAACCGCACTGCATAATGCGGTTTGGTAAAAAATACAAATGCAAACCGCACCACAGAGTTCTAAACCTCATTTTGCGGTGCGGTTTGGTTTGGATGAACATCCCTACTATTGATTTATCAATTCTCTAAATTGATTGAATTCATCAAAATCAATTGAATWTATACTTTTTGCATTATAACTAAACCCRAAMCCGAACCAAACAAAAATCCGAAACCCAAAAATCGAGACTTGATTTCTATATCCGAAATCTGATYGAGTTTATGATTTAYCCACCGATTCCCATCCATCTCAAAAGAACTACAAAATTATRATTAAATTATTTTACAAAATYATAATTAAAAATTTRCAAAACAAATTATTTTTTAATGTACAAAAATGTAATGTCTTATTCTTTTTKTAACACTTCAATCTGGGCTTACGTTTTTTACCTCTTAACAAATAACTTGGATTTTTAGTTCACARATATATTTGATTCTAATAATTAACTTCTTTAAATTAAAAACCTTTACCAAAATTATATTACTATTAAAAAAGTTTAATTTATTTTGATAAAAACTTATGCTTCTTTTGTATAAAAGATATGATATTTGATTTAACATATAATTTGATAAAAATAGTTGCTTAATAATTAAATAGCCAAAACATTTTTCAATGTTAGAAAAGAATTATAAAACATAATAAATTGAATAAGATTATGGTTATCTGTAACAACCATGAACCATGTTATTTTTWGAGCCACATCGTTTGAATTACCATAAGCTAACTGATAAATTAATACTTACGTTTCCATAAATTGTGAGTTTTTTGTCACGTGTATTTATTGTTATTAATTATCATCAATTAATTCATAAAATATTTAATTATTAATTAACATATATATAT